TAGGAAATGGGGTCTAGTTAGAGGAAGCAGCTCATGGAGGTGCCATTGAAAGGCGTGTCTTGTCACCCCTTTCTGGCCTCTGCCACCTGTCTGCCATGAGATGAGCCACGTTGCTTCCCACGTGCTCCTTGCAATGTCATTCTGACCAATTCTTCATGGACCCAGAAGTGCAGAAGCTACGTGACTTTACACAAAAACCTCTAAAACCATGAACAGAAATGGATTTTTCCTGTTTTAAAAGTTTTCTTTCCAGTATTTGCCACCATAATGAAAAGCCCTGGAGTTAATGGGGCATCCTGAGGGTACCGCTCTGAAAGCCATGTGGTACCCCATGCCACCCTGAGACTGCCAAGGAGAAACCTATAATCAGATAAGGCCCCTTACTCTTGTACTAGAACCAGGAGCTAATCCAAGCTGCTCCTCTTTAATGCATACCCGTCCCGTGCTAGTGTGTCACTGCAACAGGAAACTGACTATGACAATTATTCATTCATTCTCCCCCCAGCAAATATTTACCAAGTGTCTGCTGTGGGCTAGGCGTGAGTCCAAGTTCTGAGAACCCGATGCTCTTTATGCTGGGATGTGGATTGTAAAAAGAGAGAATTGTCAATATCTTCAGTGTCTTTGTGCTTCTTTTGAAGTTAAAAGATTATATTTAAAAATCCTGCAGTGACTTGCTAGGGAGGATCCCTGGGTTTCAAAATTCCTTCTCTGTCTCATGAGTCTACAGTTTTTGTCTGGTTTACCTTCAGGGTAGAAAGCCAGTGCTTGTTTTATGTTGTGTGTGCTTAGCACAGACTGTGTATTGAAGTCAAAGTCTCCAGCAGTATGTGAAGATGGCCAACCTTTTATATCTCTGGGGAACCATTAAGAGCTGAATTTACTCTCAAAGTCCATACTTCTCAGATGAAGGCAATGTGAAGATTTGATATGTCTGACTGTCAGTCACGAGAAAGGGGCAGATGACAGCAGGTGAGAAGAAAAGGCACACCAAGCAGTTAAGGAGTTCCTTAAACATGGGATGTAAAAGTGAGCAAAGACTTGGCCAAGAAACTTAGCTTATACCCAATAGGGGCTTGGAAGAGTTAAATTCATGGGCTGATGCCTGGAAAATATTTTAAGATTTTTTTTAAAAAGCAAACAACCCATTGATGTTTTGTTTCCTTTAGCTTTGACCTGAGTAAAAAGCAGAGAGGTGTGCAAGTTGAGTATTTTTTAGAGGTTAAGTTTGGGAGTGCCATCCCCAAGAATGGAAAAAGCAAGAACTTTAGAGTGAGACCAAGCAGGGTTTTAACCCTGACCTCTGACAATTCAGGCAAGTTACTTCATCTCTTCACTGGAAAGCTGATCCCATTGACCTGAATAAGGCGAAGCTCATAGGAAGTGGAAAGTATTATTTATTTTCTTCTTTTTACGTAAGTAGGACAAACTTGGGCTCATTAAAAAGGCGCTGTCACACTTATTTGCTGCTGTAACTAAAATATATTAAAACATGTCTCCTAGAGTGTCAACAGTTCAGAGAGAAAGGGGGAAGATGAGGAATTCATGGCACATTCCAGAGAATCCAAATATCCTACTGTGTGACCACAGGTGCATTGCAAGGATGCAGTCTGCCTCTTTGTATCTCATTGGGATTTACCAGCTTTCGTCTGAGAAAACAGGGAAGGCTTAGCTCACATCCTTGGACACTGTTTCCCAATGGCTCAGGCTTCTACTGATGTCACTCAGGCCCTTGGCCAAACTGTGAAAAGAGATGATGGCTGTGAGTTATTCAAGAAGTTCTTGGCCCATGTTCAGAGATTTAAAAACAATTTCTTAACTCTTCACTCATGACTTGGGATGCTTGCCCCGGGTGATTTCTGTCATCATGGAACATAAGTCTTGTCACACTTCAATGGACCACGCCATTCACAATCAGGAGCAAAGCAGAGGCAGAATGGTGGGAGTCTGCCAGCTCTCAGTAACCAACCTTCAGCCCCTGGCAAAGCCTCATGGGTCTTAGCAGAGCCAAGAACATCCAGGTGGAGCCTAGCACTTGGGACCCCTCTTTATTTGTGTTTTTCCCTTTATTTATTTTTTCATTTTATTGTCTGTAACTATGTATGTGTACTTCATGTGTGCAGAGGCCAGTGGAGGGTGTTCAATCCTTCTGGAGCTGGATCACCGATGGTTGTGAGCTGCCATGTCGGTGCTTAGAAGCCGACCCAGATCCTCTGTAAGATGAGCAAGTGCTCTTCGGTGCTGGCTTCTCCAGTCTGCACCTTTTTTTGATTAAAGGAACAAACGGGATAAAAGTTCACAGATATTGTGCAATAGAAGCAGAGCTGTTGGGCAAAAATACTAAATTTGGCAATCAATTTCCGGAAAATCAAAACAACCTAGGCAATGTAAGGGTTTCTGCTGGAATATCTGGTTATTAGTAACTTTTTAAAAAGTTATGAACATTTTGCTTTATTCTTTAATGGTGTTAACAACAGTCAATTTTGTGACAGAAAGACAGTATAAAGTATTCCTGAAAGTGTCTGTTTGTCCTGTATGATCCCAGCTCTTCCCTGTGTTTGAGTTAGGAGATTTTTGTTCCCTAAAATGATTTATTTATTTTTATTTTATGTGTATATATGTCTATTTACATGTCTGTGTGAAGGTGTCAGATCCCCTGGAACTGGAGTTACAGACAATTGTGAGCTGCCATGTGGGTGCTAGGCATTGAACCTGAATCCTCTGGAAGAACAGCCAGTGCGCTTAACTGCTGAGCCATCTCTCCAGTTCCTTGGTTTAGGGGCTTTAATAAGATTATCAGCGCCTCGGAGTGAGAGGCTTCCTGCTGGACAGTCTCACCTTCTCTCAAACTCTTAGGACACATACTCTGATAATCACTCACCCTTTGGAGTCTCACCCTTCATATCCCGAAGCTGGATTTGCTCATAATTGTATATATTAACATAGCTGACACTTTTCGAGTCTTGTCTACCTACAGCATTTTTTAACAGAGGACATTTATTTTAAAGATTTGCTTATTTTATGTGTACCAAGTATTTGCCTGCATGTATGTATGTGCAATGTGTGTGTGCAGTGCATGCAGAGGTCAGTAGAGGGCACTGTATCCCCTGGAGCTGGAGTTCCAGATGGTTGTGAGCCACCATGGGGTTGCTCATAATTGAATCCAGGTCCTCTACAAGAGCAGCCGGTGCTATAACTTCTGAGCTTTCTCTATAGCTCCCAGAGAATATTTTGAAGTTTCCCATTTTAGACAAGATCATGGAAGGTCAAAGAGACAGATAGATTTTGTTTTATATATCCATTACCAACTTGCATCATGGTCATCTATCTTATGGAGTCCCTGAGTCTAGAGAGTAAAGACAAATCAGATTTAAGGGGGAAATGATTGAAATATATTTCACTTTAAAGTATAACCATGAAATTGTAGATGGGTTGGAAGAAAAAGCAAGTTTATTATTATAACTTGGTGGGTGGGGAAGGACCTTGCAACTGATGTTGGCAGGGCAGTGGCCATAGTGAAAGATAATCCAGAGCCTCCCACATAAGATGGTGAGCAACGAATGGCATCTGTTGTGACCCAGTGAAGGACAACATCAGAATAAGGACAAACAAACTCTGTCCCAAAGACTGAAAGACAGGAAGACCTCTGGAAACCCACAAAACATGTGGAAGGCTACTTGGAAATAACAGGCCCCAGGCAGATAAGTGGGAATCTGAGAGCAGCTTCACTTGCACAAATCAGGAGGAGAATTCCCATCTGAAAGTAGTCTGTTGCCTCCTCTCTGAGTGGCACTGCTGAGTGAGACTATCTTCAAAGAAGCCAGAAGAGAGACCTAAGCCAACAGATGCAAGTATAGAGGCCTCTGTAGTTCAAATGGGAATGGTCCTTCAGTCTTGGGCATTTGCACACTTGCTCATCACCTGGTGGCACTGTTTGGAGAGGTTTAGGAGGTGTGACTTTGCTGGGGAAAGTAGAGAATTGTGACAGCCACAGGTTCTAGACTCAAGAGGCCCAGCAGGCCATGCAGGGTCATGCCTAGAAGGACAGCTGATGGCCCTGTTAGGGAAGATTGTGGAACCTTTGGGAGGTGGAGCTCACTGGAGGAAGTGGGTCATGGGGATCAGCTGTGAGGCTTGACAGCCCTGGTCTACTCTATGCTCACTCTTTGATTCCTGTCTGCTGATGCAATGTGACCAGCTGGCCTCCCGTCTGGCCACCTGATGCTATCTATGCCTTCCTCACTATGACAGACTGATCCCTTTGAACTGTAAGCCAGAATCAATTTCTTTAGTGATCTAGGACTAGGCTTCTAATACGTAAAATCAGCAACACAGAGGCAGACCTACCTACTCCAGGGCCTCTTCAGGGGGAGGTATCACCATGTCTCTGCTTTATGCAGCCCAGGGCCGGGCAAGGTACCACCTTTGATGGCCGGAAGCAGCCAGTCCTATCCCGTGCAAGTGTTCTTTAGATGTGAACTACATCCCAGTGCCATACTTGGTTCTCAGGGCCAAACCGATCTTCCCAGGAGCCATGTGCAGTTCCTCTGGCTTGTTTTCAGAATCTCACAGGTACAGCAGTTTTCTGACCCACACTGGCCTCAGTTCCCTGGGGGCACTTAGTGTTCCAGCAGCAATTAAGAAGATCCAATCAAAGAGCCAAGGAGTAAAACTCACCAGATCATCCCACTGGCCTGGGTAGGCATGTGTGTGGACCCCAGGGGAGTGTCGATTTGGGCAGACAGAAGTGGTGAGCTCAGTGAACACCATGGCCAGAGAGCCCAGTGAGGTAAGCATGGAGGGGAGGAAGGAGAATTTTCCATTCTGGTTCAGTCATGACTACAGCTGTCTGTGGAGTCAGTACAGTAAATATGAATGTGAACTTCTTTGAATAAAACATCTTTGCAAATCTGGGATTTCACTGCTCCATATGTTCCCGCTTCGGCTTTCACATGAGTTTGACAGTTAGAACGACTGGGAAGGAATGATCCGAAGCATGCTCTGTGTATTTTGTTCATTTATTTAACAAACACTCAATAGTACTTATTTATGCCAGGCACTGTTTTTAGAATGTTATGCATAACCATGACACAGCACTGTTTATCATTTATTTATTCATTCATTCAGTGAAAATAAATCGGATGTCTTTATGAAGCCACAATGTGCCTGGAATAAAAAGGCATAGGATGGAGCTGGTCTTTTCCTCTTGAGAGATGCAGAGACACACACAGGAATGACAGCGTTTCTAGAAAATGGCGAGACAAAGGCAAGCACCAGAGAGGCTGTTTGGCCCTAGGAGAAGGAGGGGGTCATCTAACTTAACCTCAAGTGTAGGGTGTCTGTTGGATTAAAATGTGAGCAGAGATCTGTAAAGTGAAATGAGAGCCAAACACCAAGAACAGCCTTTGTGCACCATGGTGGGGATGCCAAACCCACCTTCCAAGGGGTTGCAAGCCATGGTTTACAGTTCTTAAACCAATGGTGTATGTGAGAATCAGGAATCGGGTTGTGTTTCTTGTCATGAAGCATCAGAGACTGGACAGCTTAAGAAGCACAAATTTAAGAGCTGGAGAGATGGTGATTAAGATTAAGAATACATAGTACTCTTGCAGGGGACCAGAATTCAGTTCCCAGCACCCATATCTTCTCACAATGACCTGTAACTCCAGTTGCAGGGGAATTAACAACCTATTCTGGTCTCTGTCAGCACTGCATTCATGTGCACAAATCCACATTCATCTTCCCCACCACATACACACAATTAAACATAATAACTAAGAGCTGAAGAGATGACTCAGCAGTTAAGAGCATTAGCTACTCTTGTAGAAGACTCAGGCTCAGTTCCCAGCACTCACATGGTGGCTCACAGCTGTCTGTAATTCCAGTTCCAGGGGGATCTGATGCCCTCTTCTGACTTCCATGGGCATTTGGCAAGCAAAATACAAACATAAAATAAATACGTCTTAAAAATAGATAAGACATAAATCTTTAAAAATCTAAACAAAACCTTTAAGAACCAACAAACTTAATTTTTTTGCATGTGTGAAGCTAGAAGGCAAGAACAAGGGACAAGTTCTGTTTCTGGTAACTTCCTGGCTTGGAATGACTGTAAAGGGTTAGGGTCTAACCATGGTGTTTCTTAGTTTTGCTGCCCCCAACTCCCATGAATCTCTTCTTCTAGGGACACCAGTTGTCACAGTTTCTCGCCTGTTGCTGTGATAAAGAGCTCTGCCAAAAGCAACTTAAGGGAGAAGGGGTTTATTTAGTTCAGGGTTTCAGGTTTCAGTCCATTGACAGCTGCTTCCAGCTCCTGCTGCCCTGACTTCTCTGTCCTGATGAACTGTAACCGGAAAGCCACGTCCAGAGAAAAATGAAGAGAAAGGGGATGAGACGGAAGCTAGAAAATGTCTGAAATTTGTCGGTGCCAGATTGAGCAGGCAGAGGCAGCCAATGGCCTGGAGAACTGAGGTGGAGTGTCAATGAAGGAGGGCCTGGTGTGTGTGTGTGTGTGTGTGTGTGTGTGTGTGTGTGTGTGTGTGTGTAGAAGGGTGCAGTCTTGGATGCCTTCAGCATTCTTACGAGAGGGATGGACATACCTCATAGGATGATAAGATGATGGATGCAGAGAACGAGCACATTCAGTAGGAGGAAGAAGATTCCTTGGAGCCACCAGTGGGAAACCATGTGGAGAGGCTGGATGGAGTCAGGTAGAGTGAGAGCCTGGCAATAAGTCTGCACTGTACCTAGATAAATGGTAACCATTAGCTTTAGGAAGCCACTAGAGCCAAAGGTTTGAACAATGTCATCCATGAAAGAAGAGGCTGCCAAAGCTCTGGCTCAGGAAAAACAAATGGCCCTAGATGAGAGAAAACAATCAGGAATAAACAGAAGTTGGCACTGTCTTGTGATGACTTCCAAATGCAATGTGTGGGCTGTCAGTCACTGAACCCACAGAAGTCCCCTGGTGCGGGCATCACACACACACACACACACACACACACACGTGTGACATTTGCTGTGGGCTAGACACTGCTTAGAGTGCTTTGCCTACAAACCCCACAGTTTGTGTGTGAAGTAGCTGGAACACACAGAGTTGATACCGGTGTGCTCAGTGACCAGGGAGCTAACTTGGATGTTGAACCTAAAGGCACCAAAGCCTGAGCCCTTGACTGTCTTCCTGCCCTGCCATTACCTAGTCTCAAATTGTACCAGATTTTAGAGGTGAGAACATCTAAAGACCAAAGGGTTTATTCTAGCTAACAGATTCCTAAATTCAGACAAATAAATTCTCACAAAGCCCATGAACTACCCCAAGGAGTCAAGGGAGGAGGGAATAGCAAGAACAAGGATGGTCTGCAGAGATAAGAGCAGGGAAGTCTTCTAGCTTTGACAATATGGAGGTCACTGACACTTCATTAGGTCAGTTTCAATGGTGCCATAGGTGAGGTGGCAGAGAAGGAATTTAGATGACTCTCTGAGTGAGTTTGTCCTTGAGAAAAATAGCTAAAAAGGGAGGTGGGATGAAAAAATAAAGATCATTTTATATAAGAGAGATGAAGACCACAGATATTTGTATCCTCTGTGTCTCTCTCTTTCATGTGTGTGTGCTCCTGTGGATATGTGCACAAGTACATGAGAGTTGTAAGCACATGTCTGCACCTGTGTGCATATATGAAGGTCCAAGGTCAGTGTTGGGTGACTTTCTCGATCACTCTCCCCTGTTTTTTTTTTTTTTTTTTTTTTTTTTTTTTTGGTTTTTCGAGACAGGGTTTCTCTGTGTAGCTTTGGAGCCTATCCTGGCACTCGCTCTGAAGACCAGGCTGGCCTTGAACTCACAGAGATCTGCCTGCCTCTGCCTCCCAAGTGCTGGGATTAAAGGCATGTGCCACCAACGCCTGGCTCTCCACCTTATTTTTATGAGACAGGATCTCTCAGTGAACCTGGAGCTCATCAATTCAGCCAAAGAGTTCCACGTCTTCCCTGATCTTTGGTGTTAGGGTCACAAACACGTGCCCCTGTGCTGAGCCCAGCTTTTATGTGGGTGTTGGGGATCTGAACTCAGAGCCACAATCTTGTGTGGCAGGCACTTTGCTAAGCATCTCATCATCCCCAGATACCTGTGTTCAGGCAGGAAAGTCTAGGAGTAAAAATAGTGGTGTGAAATGGCCTGTGAGAGCTTGATTTGAGTTAAGGACTCTGCATCCCTCAAGGTTGTCTCCAGGAACAGAACCAATAGACTGGATCTCTACTCCAAAGGGGATGTATTACATTGGCCTATACAATATGCAAAAAATGACTGACCACCTGGTAGTTGCCATGAAACAGTGAGCCTCAGCAGCCCCAATCTGGCGCCAGGGACCTAGAGGATCCCTGGAGAGCTGCTGGCCTTCAGTCCATGTTGGAAGTCTGAAGAGCGTGGTTCTTTATGGGAGGAGGCAGCAGCAGCAGCTTAGAGTAGATGAATTGACCAGCAAGACTGAAAGCCAATTGAGGGGAAAAGGCAAAGCCTTTCTTCCCTGTCCTTTCATCTAGGTGGCTACCTGAAGCATGGCTCATTTTTTGGGTTGAGTTTTCCCACATTGATTAAGATGTTCAAACAAACCCCAACAGACATGTCCACAGGCCAACCTGATGTAGACAATCCATCAAGACTCGCTCTAGGTGATTCTACTGTGTGAAGTTGATAATCAAAGCCGACCATCATTCACTGAACAGGACCACTTAAAGCTCTGAGGATAAAAGACTGCCACTGTGCTTTGATGATGTAACTATCACTCCAGTAGGGGCACATGAAGGTGGAAAAGTCTTCAGGCTGTCTCCTCTTAACTATAAGCCTAACCTAGTGCACAGGATTTTAAGTGTAACGTAAACACTCTGTTGTGAACCTAATTGTAATCCAAACAATTCAAATGCATATATAGAGTTATGGGGTGTGCTTCCCCAGGACTAAAGACAAACCATGAGAATTCGCTGCTGATGAGAGAAAGAAAAGTTGCTTTGGAGAACAATGATACCCTGTCATAGTTAATTTTTGTCAGCTTGACACAGTCCCAGACATACCTGGGAAGAGAGTATCTCAGCTGAGGAACTGCCTCCATCATATTGGCTTATGGGTACATCTGTGAGGACATTTTCTTGGTTCTTAATTGATGTGGAATGTGCTGTGGATGGTTCTATTTCCTGGGCAGCTGGGCCTGGGCTGTATAAGAAAGACTGGGAGCAGGCCAGTAAGGTGTTCCTCTGTGGCCTCTGCTTCAGCTCTGTCTCCAGGTCTTGTCTTCTCTTGATAATGGACTAGATTGTAATTTGTAAGCCAAATAAACCTTTTCCTCCCCCAAATTAGTTTTAGTCAGTGTTCTGTCATAGCAACAGAAGACAGACTAGGACGTACGCAGATCAAGAGCCTTGCATAGATTCATGTCACTTATCCCAGTAATTCCATTTCTGAGAGGTGGAGTGCCGGAAAGAATTAAAGTGCAAAGATGTGTTATTGCTTGCAGTGAAGGAAAAACAAAGTGATCCTAGTGTTCCAGTAAAGAAAAGTCTAGACAAACAAGAGTACATTCCCTTGATGGAAAATGGCAGAGTGGTTTGAAATACAGTTTATGAAAACAAAGCCACTTGAAACACAACATGCATTTACTGTTAGACGAGGAAAGAGGAATAAAAATCCTACAACACTGGGGACTGGAGAGACAGCTGAGCTGTTGGTTATGAACCCTCACTGCTCTTGCAGAGGATCCAGGTTCAGTTCCCAGCACTCTCATGGCGGCTGGAAGCCCAGTTCCAGGGAATCTGACTGACATGTTCTGGATTCTGCAGGTACTGTATGTGGTGCACATATACACATGCAGGCAAACATTCATACACAAAATAAGAATAACTTCAAAATATAAAGAATCAGTGAAGTATATCAGAAAAATTTTCCTTTGATTCCATTAAACCCAGGCACCCCGGGGGCACTCAGAGACAAATTGGCTTCTACTTGCCTTTCAGGTTCTGCCTTCAAGACTCCTCAGTGCTACCTGGAGTCTCCTACCCGCTCATGCAGGTTTACCTAGATCGGAGGCCTTCCCTTTGTCAGTGTATTGTTGGGAAACTTGCTTGCTCCTCCCTTAGACCACCGGTTGGATGATGGTTGTGGTTCATTTAATTAAATTGAAAAGGACAGTCCTTTAGTCCACAGGAAACTTTCGAGCACATAACTAGATCACCCAAAAATCTACAAACTGATGATCAGATTCTGGTATTGGGGAGCTCATCCTTTGAGGGAGGCCTGCTTGGAGTCTTCCGGCTTGCATCCGAACACATAGCCACCAAGGGTCTCGGGGCAGCAGAAGCAAGAGGGTCAGGAAATGGAGCACAGGGAATGCAGAAAGCCCTGTGGGAAAGTGCCAAGCCTTCACAGAAGGATGCTGGGAGGGTGGGACCTAGATGCAGGTGGAGCTCCCAGCCTGAGCTCTGACAGCCCCTGGGCTCCAAGCGGAGGTGGTCAGGCACCCTGTGTGGATCCGCGGGAGCAGTTGCACCTGAGGGATGGATGCGTGCTGCGCAAGGCCTGGGCATCTGTCCCGGGGAAGATGTTACACCAGGCAGTGTGCACCAGGCAGGGAGGGCCCCACGCGGGGGCTGAGTGTCTGACCCCAGTGCGATGACTAAGTTAGTCTTGGCTGTGATCAGGCGAGGTGGGAGCGCGCCAAGTTATGAAACGCTGATTGCTGTGCAGGAGTGGAGCATCTGGGGTCCTGCCTGGGGGCCGGAGGGGCGTGCCCGGTGCCTGATAAAAAGGGTTGCGCAGCGCGGGGACTGCTTTCTCGGTGCCCTGCCTGCAGCACTCATCGAGGGTGGGCAGCCTTCAGGATGACAGGAGGGCTCCCGAGCGACTGTTGTGTGCAGTAGTCGGCAGACAGACAGACTTAATCCTCCCACTTGGCGACCCTCAGGGTAGGAAGGGGACTGAGACACAGCCTGGGTATGGCCACCGCCGCGTGCGAGCCTGCGGCTAGACCCAGCCTGACCTCCATTTCGTCCGGGGAACTCCGCAGCCTGTGGACCTGCGACTGCGAACTGGCCCTGTTGCCCCTGTCGCAGCTGCTCCGCCTACAGCCTGGTGTCTTCCAGCTGCGTGGTGAGCAGCTCGTGGTGCCCGGGCCCGGGGAACCCGCGGACATGCGAGGGGGCTTCAACGTCTTCGGGGACGGCCTCGTGAACTTCGACGGGCAACTCTATCGCCTTAGCAACTACATCAAGAGGTGGGTGACCACGCCGAGCGCCCTAGCCTGTAGCTCTGTCTCGCAAATCTTCTACCTGGCTGCTATCCATTCTCCAGGAGACCTGGCCATCCTACCTGACATCCACCAGAAGGGCCCCCGCCCGGGCACCTTTTTTAAGTAGCTAAGAAGGGTGTAGTGCTTTTCTTTGAAGTTAAGGAGGCTGTCTTGCACACCCAGCCCCACCAACACTTCAGATGGTAGCTGCTTTTCCCATTATGCCCATTAACTGGGTCAGATGAGCTCAGTGCACAGGCACACCCCTCACAGGAGGTCTAGGATGCCGAACCTCACACCTAGCTTTCGTTCTGAACACTAACAACTTTATTCCGTAGAAGCATGCAAAAAAAAAAAAAAAAAAAAAAAAGGTCATTTTGGGCTCGGGAGCGGGGAGGGTAATTGCTCTCTTGGTGTTTCTTAAATCAAGCAACCACAGTGGAGAAGCAAATAAAGCCCCCCCAAAACCCAGAGCCGTTGTTGCCTCTTCAGTGGCGAGACAGCTTGAGCAGACAAAAGCACAAAGTGTATCTTCCTGGCTTGCTGCAGAGCACTGAGAGACCCCAGCCTTCATCCAATGGCTCTCAGGAACTGTTGTGACCAAAGGGACTCAAGCATTCCTCGGTAGACTTGAAGGCAAGGTTGTGGAGGCAGGCTTCGATCTCAGCGGCATAAGGGAGGGGAAGCCATGCTGGATTCCACTTGGCAGGGTCACTCTGGAGGAAGAAGGTACACACCCTCATACATTGTTAGTAGGATGTTGAGCGCCCCAGAACCAAGTGGGTTCTGGGGTCTGAGTGATGCAGGTTGCCAGATGTGAAGGTGTTTCCCACGGAGAAAGGCTGACGTGTGCCCTGTGGAGAGGGTGGAGCCGAGGGCCCAAGCAAATGACAGACATTGACAAAGCATTCTTCGTACTGCAGGTAGGACCCTCAGGGTGGTATGAGTTTTGAATGCCCGAGAAAACACTCCCTACCAAGAATTTCTCTTTGGTGGGGCAATAAAAATGCCAATTTGTAAGAGGAAGTGGGGAGAGCTGAGTTAGAACTGAAGGTTTGGGTGGGGAGATGGCTCAGAGCCTGAAGAGAGGGGACTTGAGTTTGGATTCCCAGCACCCATGTGAAAATGTCCGTGTGCCTAGAACCCTAGTGCTAGGGTGTGAAGAGAGGACAGTTACTGGGCTTGCTGGCCTCCACCCTGGCCCTAAACGGACAAGCTCTGAGATCAGTAAGAGAACCCATTTGACACTAATAAGGTGGACACATATGCATTGGTGCACTTACACGCACGCGCGGGCGCGCACACACACACTTACAATGTTCCCAATGAACTGGAGCTAAGGTAAGGCATTTTGCAGAATCAGCTCCCCTAATCTTAGTATGTGATACTGGAAATTTTAGAATAGATTTGAGGCTCATCATTGATTTTTTTCTTTGAACAGCTT